AGGAACCAGCCAGACACGCGCACACGGGCATCTTTCACCCAGTGGCTGTGCCGCCTGCACAACGAGGTGAACCGAAAGCTAGGCAAGCCGGACTTCGACTGCTCTAAAGTGGACGAGCGCTGGCGTGATGGTTGGAAGGACGGCTCCTGTGACTAGAGGGCGGCCAGCTAGAGCCCGTGGGGGCTGCCTGGCTAGGCAGGGGCAGGGCAATCATTAAAGTGCATCATGGCACTCTTTGAAGTGGCAGAGCCAGAGCCTGTTGTGTTTCAGCTGGGTGTTCCCCCGCCGCGTCCTGTGGGGCCCTTTCCTTCTCACGGTGCTTGCTGATGGCACCCTGGTGGCGTCCTCCTCAGCTGAGGTCCTGTGGGGCTGCAGGTGAAGGAGAAGGACAGCCTAGGCTGTCCCCTCCCCCCTTTTTTAATACGTTTTTATTGATTTTTAGAGGGACAGAGAGAGAGAAACATGGAAACGTCCATCAGCTGCCTCCTGCACGTCCCCTACTGGGGATTGAGCCTGCAACCAGGATGTGCCCTGGCCAGGAATCAACTGGTGACCTCTTGGTTCATGGTTGATGTTCAACCACTGAGTGACACTGGCCAGGCTAGGCTGTCGCTTTTTTCAGGATGTGGCCTCCTGCCCAGCTCACCCCCTGGTGCCCACTTCCCCACACAGGAAGGTGATAGGCTTGGCTGGCCTCTTCTGTCCCACAAAATCCTTGAGATCAGGCCATTGTCTCCCCACTGTGGCTAGAGACAGCCGCAGTGCCTGTAGCCTCAGAGGCTGTGTGCTGTTTGCCCCTCAGGAAAGAGGCCTCAGGCTAAGCTTTCCACCCTACAGGGAGGGAAAGTGCAGGCATGGCTCTCCTCTGAGGGTCAGCGACACCAGCTCCTTTTCTGCTCAGCACATGGCCTTCCATAGCAGTACCAGGCTCCTCCAAGGCTCCTTGGGGTCAGCTTCCTTGGAACTCGAGACAAATAAAATGCTAAAGAAGTGACTTGAGAACCTGCCTTCAGTGTGTTTGCTGGGACTTTCAGTGATGGACGGGGCCTGCCCTCACTCCTCTGGTCAGCTGCTTCCTCCTGTCCAGACTCTGGCCCCTTAGAGAGGTCCCAAGACAAGAGTGGGCCAGGATATCCCGGGAACAGCAAGGAGGCGGAATTCCTGGAGCTGAGGAGGGTTAAAGAGGTGAAGGGGAGTCAGCATGAAGTCCTCAAGGCTCCAGCAGGGACGTGATTTTAACTCCCAGCGTCTGTGACAGGAAGGTCTTGGAGGATTTGGAGCTGAGGAATGGTGAGATGTGACTTCGGAAAGTTTCCTCTGAGCTGGGGTGAGGCAGGCATGGGTGGAAGCAGGGAGAGCAGGCACCCATGTGGCAGCTGAGGGGGAAGCTGGCCGCAGGGTGGATGGGAGAGGATGCCAGATATATTCTGAAGGTACAGACGAGGAAGAGCCAAAGGTGACCGGGGTTCTGGCCCAAGAAGCTGGGAGGATGGAGTTGCTCTTTGTATCAAGTGAGATGAAGAAGGCTGTGAGGGGAGCAGGTTTGGGGGTGACCTGGACCCAGCTTTTGAACCTTTCTGATCTGCTCAGCCATACCTGCTCCCAAGCCTTGGCTCCCAGCAAGGATGCCCCAGCAATAGTGTGTCCCATCCTGTAGTCATAAAGCTCTGGTCTCCTCTGCCCCCCATGTTTCAGCCTCTCCCTTGGCAAAGGGCCAGCCTTTGCCATGGCCTCCACCACCTTCACCTGACCTGTTCTCCCAGGGGTGCTGGCTTCCACAACGTGCTACCCAGGTGACACAAAGAAATAGGTGGGGACTTGTCAGCAGATAAGTTCTCTTTCTCCCCTTGATGGATTGTCCCCAGCACATCTCTGGCCTATCCTGAGTAGCCTGTGAGCCACTGTGGTCGGTTCCAGAACATACTGCCTATATCTGCTCTCTCCTTGCTTCATTTCCCTTATCCCCTAACTCGCTTCCCTGAAGTTTCACCCCCTAATAAAACTCTCAAAACTTTGCCACAGACTTTTCCAGGGCAACCAGGTCAAGACAAGTGGGGCTCTAGTCCAAGAGAAGGTTCTGGCTGGAGCTGACACCACAGTCCAATAGCATAGAGGAGAAGAGCCATGATCATGTTTGGGGCCTCTAAGGATCACAGGTTGGACAAGAGAAGGAAACCTGAAAGGGTGACAAGGAAGGGCCTGTAAAGTAAGAGGAACAGGAGGAGAAGGTGACATTTATTAGAAGCCTTGTTAGGAGGGTGGGGACCTCAGTGTCTGAATTGCCCCTGTAAAGGGAGCAGTGACATGGGGACAGCTGGAGGGGCATTGGGGTCAAGAGTTGATGTTTTTTAATATAGAAGAAAGTGCAGCATGTTTGGGTGTTGATGCAAATGATTAAGGGGCAAATGGATGATGTAAGAGACCAAAATGGGGAACAGTTGCTGACAGGTGAGAAGTAGTAGGACTGGATGCAGTTTCATGCACTTGACAGAAGACGGGTGGGCTACACCTCTGGCCACACCTGCCCTGGAATAGGTTTCCCAGGAGGCTGGGCCAGGCACCACCCTCTGTCCACACAGATGCTATGACAGAGACCTGGATTCAAGTCCCAGTTCTTCACTTTCTATGATCCAGAACTTAATCAGTCTGCCTATCTACCACCTGAGAAGTGGGGGTGATGATAGTTTCTACCCCCACAGGTCATTGTGAAGTCCTTAGCACTGTAAATGCTCAACAAATGCAAACGACTTATCGTTGCCTAGATCAGCGGTCGCCAACCTTTTGGACCTCAGGGACCACCAGTGGTCCTTGGATAGAAACATGGGAGTCATCCAGGCTCCTGCTGGGCTGGGCTGGAAGGAACCAGAAGGAAGGGACATAACTGGGGGCCCGGGGATCTATGGAAAAGACCCAGCGGTGGTACGGGGCTGGGAAGTCCCACTTCAGCCAAACTCCCATCTCTGATGTTTCTCCCTGCTCCTTGGCCCCAAACTAAATATGTCAGTCACAAGTCAGTCCAGGAAACCCAGGCGTGTGGAAGGCTCAGAACCACCTTGGAATGACACCTGGCCACCCACAGGAAAGGAGCAGAGATGCCTCAGCTCCCACTTATTTTTTTAAATAAACAATTGGTTTTTTTAAAATATATTTTATTGATTTTTTACAGAGAGGAAAGGCGAGGGATAGAAACATCGATCAGCTGCCTCCTGCACACCCCCTACTGGGGATGTGCCCACAACCAAGGTACATGCCTTTGACCCGAATCAAACCTGAACCTGGGACCCTTCCGTCTGTAGGCCAACGCTCTATCCACTGAGCCAAACCTGTCAGGGCCCCAACGCCCACTTATACTGGCCTGTGGGCTTTGCCCACCTGGACAAGTGCCCCTGGAAGCAGAGACCATCCTCTCTCCATGTCAGGCGGCTAGAACCCTCTGAAGGAGAAGCTAGGGTGAAGTGTGTGTGTGTGGGGGGGCGACCCATGGGGGAAAGGCCCCAGTGACCAACCTTTGGTTTGCAGGGGTCCAAGGCCAGGGAATCCTGTTCCTATTTCCTGAGGGGGAAAGACACTAGATGCAGTGGTTCTCAGCCTTCTGGCCCTTTAAATACAGTTCCTCATGTTGTGACCCAACCATAAAATTATTTTCGTTGCTACTTCATAACTGCAATGTTGCTACTGTTATGAATCGTAATGTAAATATCTGATATGCAGGATGGTCTCAGGCGACCCCTGTGAAAGGGTCGTTCGACCGCCAAAGGGGCCGCGACCCACAGGTTTGAGAACCGCTGCACTAGAGCCATCTGGCCTCGGTTACACATTCATGAAAGGGCCCTGCTCAGAGGAGAGGCACCGGGTCAGGTGCCCTCTGTCCATCTGCCCGGATACAGCAAAGGCGGAGCCCGGTGCCCGCCTGCACTGCTGACTCCTTGTGAGGGGCGGTGTGGGCCCAGCTCCTTAGCCCTGCCCCCTGATCGTGATCTGGTGAGTCCATCTTGGACCCGGGTCATGCAGCTGAGGGCTGGGGGTGGAAGGGGAGCGGACGGGAGGGACCAGAGGGCTCCAGCCTGGTGCGTGGACCAGTGAGGAGGTGCGCTCGCCCCGC